ATATGTATTTGAGAGCATTCGATGAGCCTCAACCGCAGATTTCTTCATATTGAAGCAAAAAATTAAAACCTGCCGCAAATGACGAGAATTTGGCTCGTAAACTGACGTTTTCAATCGAGAATAACTTTATGATGCAGACACAAATCGACTAATGTTTCTACGGGATTATGTTGACAGATGCCCAAGTTTATTGTATGACGTCTATGATCTATTTATTTCGACCACCTTACACTTACTGCTAAAGCCATCTATAACGGCGGAAGCAAAGTTGTACACACACACACACACACACACACACACACACACACACACACACAAAATATATATATATAAAATTTATTCATTAAGATTAAATGAGGGGCACCTAGATAGACGTCATTTAATTTTAAAAAATCCATAAATATGAAGTTAATATTAGATTACTGCTATAGTTATTTATTATAATTTTTATGTACAAAAACATTTTAGTTTTATTACTTGCCATTAATTGTGAATGATAATAATTACATATAAATAGATACATCTGTCTCTCTCTCTCTCTCTTAAGAGAATATTGGAAATTCGAAACTTGGAGAATATTTTCAATATCAACGATTTAATAGAAATTTATCGCGCACTCGACCTGATGCTGCAGCATTATAATATATGTAAATGGACAAGCGATTCATTACATGCAATGAATAAAATAAAAATAAGCAATACATGTCTTACATTAAAAAGTGGTTTTGTTAATTGCGAAAATACGATGTGTTTGCAAGTATTGTTTAATATAAATTTACAAACTTTTTAAAAATCAAGAGAGTTTATATATATTTAAAACACTTCTATTATTTTCTATAATGGTTTTAACCACTTTCCACCAATTGATTCATCTCATTATTCTGTTCGTAAAAGTATTAAGGTACGATTATCGAAAAGTTAATAATTTATGAATTATTTAACATTTTATATCAATATGTACCAACATTTTATATCAATATGTACCAATAAAATGTGTAAAATATCTCGTCAACTATTGGTTTTTTAATACTATTATCTTAATACTTTTATATGCAGAATAATTAGAGGATCATCTTATGTAAAAAAAATCATACAATTTAATTTGAAAAAGAGAAGATAACCTTCATATCTTTTTGACGCTTCCATTTAAAAAAAACTATCATGACCAAAATACATCCATCTTCCATTTTGATTTGAAACATTTTTTTATATCATCAAAAATAAGCGAGATATTTCAGATGGTCGATTTAAGTGGACCACTCTGTATACAATAATTGTTAATCTGAGAATAGGAATTGCCTGTGAAGTATTGACATCCCATTTTGAAAAATCCGATATTTTATACGCAATTTGTTTGCACGCACAATAATTCTACAGTTCCTGTTAGATTTTAAGAATTGTTTCGCTGATTTAGCTACAAAAAAAATTTTTTTTAATGGGATGCCAACTTCGCGTGGCACCTCAAGCATCGCAAAAATTAATTTTTACGAAGTTCTATAATTTTCGAAGAGTTCTATAGTTTCCGATAAATTTTAACAATAGCTCAGATCTTTAAATATTTTAAAATAAATATTAGATGGGAAAAAGTTCGTGGCATTTTTTTAATGCCATCTAACGAGAAAAATGCCACGAACTTTTTCCCATATTTAATTTAATCTAACAAAAAATAAATTTCAAAAAAATTTATTTTCATCAAAAAATTCTCTTGATTTCCTACTGATAGATTTTAGCAACAGTTCCAATCTTTAAGAATTTTTAAACAATTTTTCAATATGAGCGCTGGCACTCTACTACAAGAATAAAGTACAACGTAATAGTCGATTTTTTGCTATTTTTCTATAATTCTGTAATAGTTTCAACGCTTTCGATAAGTCTTGTTCCAAATTCTTGCCCTTAAGTATTATCAAATATTTTTTTAATCTGATTGCTGGTAGTACGTTTTTGATAAATATGTGATGCCGACAGTTCCTATCGCTATGGCAATTCTTGATAGTTTTCACAGTGACTATAAGTCGATCTTTACATGCATAAAGAGGAACAATGTTCTATATTACTATACTACAAGAGACTGCATCAGCCCATGTTGTATATATAATTTGTTGCAGCAGATAATTATGAGTATATTTATATGTATAAATTATGCTATACAAAAAATAAATCGAAAGAGAAAGATGACAGTAGATTATAAAAAGTTTATAAAAAGTTTTATTTTTATTTTTAAGACGGGCAGAATATAATAATCATATTTTTTTTTAAATTAAAATTTCACAAATTAGTGTGGCCAATATAAAAATTTCATGCGAATTATTAATTAAATTAATTTTAAAATGTAAAAGAATAGAACTCATATATTTTAGAGAAGTGCGAAAATAATGAGGAATATACATATATATTTATGCCATTTATATATTTTTCCAATAAAAAGCGTAAAGTTAGCAATATATTAATAGATAAGTTATATGATTAGAATCATTTTTATATATGTTCTCCTTTCTTTCCTTCAAATACTATAAAAAGGGAAAGGAATACACAGAAAAAGGAAGAAAATATATGTATATATATAGTTTTCTCTTTTCAATCAGTGTTTGCTTAGAGAAAAAGAAAGGACAATACATTGATGGCACTCTTTGTCGCACTTTCTTTGTCAACTAGTTATTCTCACGCTAGATGTCGAATGCTTGATCTTCAGGTATACACGTTCTTGTGCAGGAAAATATTTGTACTAACTATTTTTATTTGATTTTTGAAAAACAGTGATTCTTATAAAAATCTGCAATCTTTTTAAGATTTAAGTAAACAATCCTTCAATTTCTTAGTGCCAGAAGTTTGTGAACTCTTGTATTTTTATTGCAAGAATTTGTATAGGTAGAATTAAATGTACAGGTTAGTTAAATTCCTTTTAAACGAGTTTAAAAGGATTTTTTCATAAAATATTATAAAACGTGTTTTAACATTTTTATATTGGAACTCTATTCTGTCTCCCAAAAGTAAATTATTTTAATACAGACAACCATATATGTAAGTATATGAATTGCATCACATGTGTGACTGTGCAATTATTTTTATTTAGTTCGATGTTCAACTCTCAGCATTACTTAATGTCCAAAGAAATGCGTAACTTTTCTGTAACATTCCTTGATGTGACAACAGAATACCGTCTTCACATGTAAACCGAGTCGCGTGACATCGAAATGCTTGCGGCTCGAGATTTAATTTGATAAATACGAGGTTCCGTGTACATACGGACTAATACAGACCAAACCACGTGGCTCATGTTCGCCATGCTCACCACGTGCTGTGGAACTGAGATAGTTCGTTATTGCTTGCAGCAGTCGTAATTCATGGCTTGCGATTCGCGGCTCATTATTCTCATTCATTATCGATAAGTAGGGCGCGAATCAAAATGCTTGTCAAACCACAAATCAATGAGTCGCGCTATTGAATCGTGGTCAATGTTTCTTTTTCGTGCTGTTCATTTTTCCATAGAAAAGACGTTTTTGCTGAACTATCTAAAAATTTAGCTAAATACAGATGAATAAAAATAATTTTGTTGAGTCAAATAATTATGTAGGACACTCAGACTGGATGCTCGAATGTCAAAATGTTTTGCAACATTGCTCGTCATGTTTGAGATTTGTAATTACTTTAACTATGTGTTGTTAGTTCAACAAAATTATTTTCAGATCTGTATCTAGTTAAAATTTTAGATATTTCAAAATTCTTTTCATGTTCATATTTTTTAAATTGTTAGGTTTACAAGCTACGAATTAAAGATGGTATGCATAAACGAACTACAATAAATGATACGACATGAAATCTAATTGATTCCTTATAACTCGATTGCTCAATCTACGAAGTCGAATTTATTTTGAAATTATCATAATTATTTATTTGATAAGCCACGACGAGTCACGGATCATGGCTTACAAATGTAGATATACATTTAACTCGTAATGAAGATTTGATTTTATGCGTCGCTTAATTTTCTTTCGAAAAAAAGAGCATGTTTAATTCAGTGAAAGCAAAAGCTAAATGATAGGTAAATATAGTTTTATATAAAGTTCAACAACATGCAAATAATATCAAATGATGCTAAAGATATATGGTTCTTATGAACAGAGCTTTCAGAAACTTGTTATCGAATATAATAGAAACGTACAGATAAAATAATACTTTATTTGATATACATGTGAAGTTGTCTTATTTGAAATTAATTTTTACATCTCGTCAAGTAACATATTAATAACATATTAATGTATCAATGTTATCATACCAAACTTTTCTTTAACTTTTCATCTTTGAATATTATTTTTTTAGTTAATATTAAATCATTAATTATACAATACATACACATTACAATTTATCCAATTGAATTTTTATAGAAATAAAAATTAATTCAGATCTCATAAAAATTAATAATCATCATTTCTATGATGATTATTCTTTGCATTAATTTATATTTCGTGATTATTTATTGTTGTAATTTTTGCATTATAAAATGCTAATCATTTATCAAGCATGTACAAAGAAATTGGCAATAGAATTAGAATTAGAATATAATTCTGCTCTCTTCATGAAATTAATATTAATTAATAATTAATTATGTTGCAAATATTTATAACATGCAGTTAATGCAGTTAATGTTGATCATATCATAGATTCAACTATAAGATATTCCAAAAAAATATATTTCTGCGATGTACATTAGACGAAATCAAAGTTATCTTTTAGCTTTCATAATCTTGTCAAATACTATATAAATATCTCTTCAATTTAATTTTGTTTCCTTTTACTTCTTTACCGTCTTGAATAAGATATAAATTGTCAGACAACATATATTTTCCATTATTCAAAATAAACATATCATTAATTTTAGATGTTACTAGTTTCAGACGATACGCCGATACGACATACAGAGCAAGATATTAATTACGACTTCCAAAATTACTTAAATAAAGAAAAATAATCCTATTTAAGTAAAAGAAATAATATTTCACATTATGACACTGTCATCATCATTATGGACCACCGTCTACACTACTTTAATTTTTGGTAAAGAAATTTATATTAAGAAAATAATGTTTTTTTTATCTGTTTATTTTTATTATTCTCTTAATTATGTAAACTTTAAACATAGTAAATAGTACCGAGACACTACCTTGTCTTCAAGTCTATAAGTATATCTTTGAATAATGAAATTGTAAGGAATATATGCACATAAAGAAATAGCTAATTGATATATTATATAATTATTACATAGCATATTGATTGTATAATATATTAAAACGTAATACAGCTGATTTAAAAGATATTGAAATATCTTTTAAAAAGAGTAGAATACACAAGATTTGTAAGATTTTATATTATATATAAAGTCGAATGGTATAAAATGAAAATGTATAGATAGAATTAAATTCTTCTTTTCGTTTTATTTGTTAATTCAAGAATTAATTGTAATTTACTTATAGCAAGTTAAAATAGTTCAATGTATTAAACTATCTTTTCTATTTCACTTTTATTAAATAATTAACAAAAATATAATAATCTTATGGAAAATTTTATTATAAAAAAGACTAATGTAATTTTATTTGCAATCAACAGATTTTTTTCAAAACAAAAATTTTTATATTTAACAAAATTAATTCTTTAATTATGTAATGAATAGTTATTACAAAATCTATAATACTAACAATGAACATAATTATTTATTAATTGCCATTACTTTTCTAGATTCTGTAACAGAAAACGTGACATCACTATTAACAAATACTATAACAGAAAATGTAGCACCACTATTAAGGAACACTACATATAGAGAAAATAAAACAGAAGAATACCAAGTTTCGAATATTGAATTTGTAAATTATTCGATATTGCACTGGCCTAATTATTTATGGTTTGCTGCTGGTTTAGGAACTGGAATATTCATAATGTTAATTATAAATTCCAATTTATATTGCAAAGTCTGGTAAATACAATTTTTTTACTATAAATGCTTATAATTTTTATAACTGATTAATAAAATATAATTACTTAATAATAATGTAAAAAGTTTATTGAAAAGAAAAGTGAAAATATGAAATAATATTGTACTACTAATAATATTGTACTAATGAAATAATATTGTAATAATAATATTAAATTTTTGCTGGAAAACATCTTAGAAATATATGTATAATACATCCAATTTTTACAATATGTCATGCTTGTATAAACTAATTATACTGAAATATCTTAAATATTTTTTTTACAATTTCTTTCATTATTCTACTCCTATGAAAGTATTAAGAAAGTTATAAGAAGTAAAAGCTTAAAAGATATTTTATATTTGATTTCATGTTTGATAAAATGTTTCGACATAAAATATACGAAATTTCATGTGAAATATTTTCTATAGCAGTATTTTAAATAATACAAAATAATAAAAATACATCTCTATTAATGTAAATAAAATATATGATTATAGTTAAAAAAGGAATATATAAGTTTTTGAAAATCTTTTCTATTTTATCATTTCTTTTAAATAAACAATACAACTACGAATTGAGATCACATTGATTATATTTTTTCAATTTATTATATGCTACTGCAATGATTTGCTATTTTTAATTATTAGAGTCTTCATACACATAAAATAAAAAATATTTAATTTAATTAGGTGTCCTAATTTTCGTATCTTAAGACGCATTTGGATCTTCTTTAGAATCCTTTGGCACCGTTTTATTGTTTGGTATCGTCACGTTTGTCTTGGTAGAAACGAATATTTTATTTCGACTCCCAAGCAAAATAACAGAGTTATCAAAGAATACAAAATAAACGTGAGTGCAAAACATGTAATGCGTAAAGTATATATATTAATTTAAAAAATTTTGTGTATATATATTTAAAAAATTTTCAATTATATATCATCAGATAGTTTATTACTTTTCTATGTACAATTTTTATATTATATAATCCTCATTATGTTATTGTGAATTTTATTTTAATTTTGCCTTCATATCATAACCACGAAAAAAAGTCCGAGGAAAATCTTTGGTGCCGTACAATATTTTTATATCAATCGTTAAATAATTATAATACATATGACAACATCTATAAGTCTATTAGCCTTATTATTTTTATTTGATATTGTAAACCTGATATTGTATACCTTCCAACTTGCTTCTTTATAATTACTAGTTACTCATATAAATTATTATAATAATCTCTTCGTAGTTCCAATCACTTCCGCGCGTCTCACTATCATCGCGACTCACAAGTCAGCCGCGATCTTTACAACAGTCACAATGGAATACTACGTTACCTACAGTCTCACGGCAATCTCATATCCAACAGCAATTATCATCCAGTTCCGATTCAAATCGATTACTAGGTCAATATCAAGTTTAATTTTTTATATGCACTACTATCAGAGGCACTAATACCTATATACATTATGTTGCTTTTAAATTTAATCTTTTTAATATTATCTTATATTATAGAGTTTCTCTAATTTTTTTTATTTGTATAAATATTGTATAATTATTATATATATAGAGTTATGCAAAAATTGTTAATTAATAATCGATTCTTTGATTTAGTTTCCCCAATTAGAAACAGCCCTGCAACCATCGAAAAGTCCCGAATTACTGCAATAATACATACAACTGCCATAACAACCATGATTGCCACATCAACTACAACGCCTGGACGATTGACTTCTTTTCCTACACAGTAAAAAATTTTGCGTTAAACTTAATACATTTTATCTATCCCAAACGGTCCATCTAAATTTTTGTGTTAATTTAACATAAGATGGATATATAAGAAAGTAACACAAATATTATATAAAAAAATGAATACAAGAAGCGTAATACTTTAATAATATAAAAGCAAATTTTATACTAAATTTATAACAAATTTTATACACATTTATAATGTTAAATGTAACTGAAATTGATGCTATTTTTGCATTTTTAATTTAAACAAGACCTCTGTGACATTTAACATAGATAATACATAGATTTAACAGATATTTACTGTTACAAAGAGAAAAAATATCCTTTTTACATATAAAATATATAACTAGCTGTGCAGAACATATTTCTTCAGTAAAATTAACATTTATAATTAAATTAATACACACATTTTATTCATTTAGAATTTATATTTTAAAATTATATTATTTTTATGTTATTCGTTTACTTATAAACTATTTTAACAGAAATGTTAAATTTTAATTTAACACAAAATATTCAAATAATACAATCACATTATGTTAAATTAACTCAGATATGTTAAAAATTCAATACAAAGTGTTAACAAGAATTCCTTTTAACATAAATACAAAATATTTTTTATCGTGTACATTAGTATAAAGTTCAATTTTTAATTGTGCTATTATTAAAACACATTTACATATTGGTTTTAAAACTGATTCTTTCATTAGCATCATTTCTAACCTTCTTCATTTTTCTTAATTTTTATTAATTACAAAGTTACATACATATATATTAATACTATCAATAATTTTCTTTTTACAGATTTCCTGCAACTCGTACAAATCTACATGACTCCATTTAAATGTTAAATGGTTATATTATTACATGACAAACTGTATAGTCTCATTAATTTTCAAAATTGCTGTGATGATAGATTATGAAATGTTCCAATCTAAAAAATAAGTTTCACCTTACATATAATTTTATTAAAAATATAATATTTCTTATTAAATTAATTGTATAATGTAATAATGGAAGAAATTAGTAATTAAACTAGTAATTAGAGCCTGGATTATACGCCGATTCACACGGATATATTAAATCGAGTCGAATCGAGATTATAGCGCATTCCTCATGACTCCTCACTGCCACTCGTCCGAAGCCGGAATGATGAACGATGAAATCAAGGCGGTAGAAGATGAAATAATGGGGAGAATGTTGACGCGATCTCTTTAATCCGGGCTCTAACTTGTAATGTTATATATCTATTATAAATTTTATATATCTATTATATATATCTATTATATATCTATTAACAATTTAA